AAGACTAACTATGGACTATGGATACCTATGTTACTATTATGTGGTATCCCTAGTAATACTATTATGTTATATAAAACAAACAACCTTACCTCATTGGACTATGAAGGTGTCCTAAGATGAAGAAGTTACAATTGATTAATGATAATGCACCTTGAACCACATAATAGTAACATGGTCAACATTCATCATCTCTACAGTAATACTGAAGACTTCTTATTATTCAACCGGTTAATAATTTAAGGATACCAATGTACCTAAGATTACGGAAAGTGATTAGCACCTTGACCGGGGGCGGTATACCAAAATATTAGGTTATTCTACCCACATAGTCTTATTGTAGAGTCTAATATTATTTAAGGATTAGGATTTCACTTTAATATAGAAATTGTTTTAGCATATCTTGTCCCCTAGTTTAAGATTAAAGGACTTTAGGTTTCTAATCGATCCCCTTTCAATCCAAATCAATGGACTGAAATCAACCATTTCAACCTGAATTAACGTCTTTTTAACTAAATTTAAACTTTTTATGGTCTGAATCAAACTCTGTTAATTCAAGACCAACCTTTTCAAGACTTGTAAGATATACTTTCTAAAAAAGCTTAATTTTTTGAACTTTGAGATTTTAAAAGAACCTTTCTCATGACTTTTGAAACTTCTATACCTTTTCAAAATCCCAAACTTTTCAAACTCTAAAGCCATTTCAAACTATAAAAGACTTTTAAATTTTATAATTTCAAAATCTCAAAACATAAAGCTTTTAAAATATTCAAAATTTTTGAGTAAAAAATTTAAAAATTTTAAAACTTTCTCAACTCAATCCTTTTAAAAACTAAAACTTAAAGAAAAAAAAAACTTTTAAAACTCTAAACATTGAAACTTTTAAATCTAAAAAAAACTTAAAACAAAACTTTTAAAACTCAAAAAAAATTTGAAATTTAAAGAAAACAATTTTGCTTTTAATACTTCAAATCCTTAAATTTCAATACTACTTTTAAGAAAAAGTCAAACTTTCAAAACTTTAGATCCTTTTATTTTTGCTTCAAAACTTAAATTTTTTGAATAAACTTCAACAATTCCACAAATTCAACTCAATCTTAGAAATTTTAAAATTAAATTTCATTCCTTTAAACATTAACAAAACTTCATGAATCAACTTTAATAACCCTCACATAAATTTTAACAATCTCAACCAAAATGTATACTAACAAAACTTATTCAAACAATCTTTTTTAACTTAAATCAATCAACCAAAATCAAATACAACCAACTCCAATTTTTATCTCTAGTGAATCAGGCCGAAATCAAACCTTTTTCACAGTCAATATAATCAAACTAAACAAAAAGTATTCAAACGGAATCCAAATCGAAATTCATCCTTTTTCAACAAATGCACGATTACAATTCCCAAGGCTTGCCTTCTTCCCATAATGGTTAATCCTCTTCTTGGGCTTTTCTAAGACATATCATAATTGGATAGTAAGTCCCAACTTTTCAAATTGAATAAATTTCTTTCAAACCCATCCATTAAAATGAGCTCTTCAAACATCATTCTTTAAGATACTTACCTTATAATTATGTGTGATAAAAGCCAATGCTTTAATCGAGAGTGTTCTCAAGAGCCACAACTCACAAGGTTTAATTAAATAAAAGTGCTTTTCCTCATAAGGATACCAGATCCTAGAATAAAATAAACCCTATCTTGCACTCGTAAGGTAGGGAGACCAACAAATCTTAAATTTTTTCATCATCCAAATGGTTAGATTCATTTTAAGATTATATTTTCATTCTTGAAGATAATATATAATTCTTTAAATGATGCATTTGATTCTTTTGATAGAAACCTTTTAAGATTTATGGAGAAGAACCCCAAACACTAGAAAAGCTAAGCTCAAGGAAATATTAATTTATTCTTCATATTAAAGAAACATTTTTTTAAGATAATATTTCACCTAAAATGAATAATTTCATATTTTAAGGATTTTTCTATCAAATAAAGTTGAGGATATATTGGAATTCTTGTAATAACTTGTAAATTTATTATGCTAAGTGAATTAAATAATTAAAAATTTAATGTGAATTTAAATGGAAATAATAAAATTTATGGGATATTATCACTAAATGTATTGTTTTCTACATGAATTTCTCAATCTATGAGGTCAATATATGCTTTTACATTTACAGAAAAAAAGATGAAAAAAAAAATTCAAGAAGTCAGGTTAGCATCATGATTCTATTAAAAAAATTAAATAGGCTAAAAAATAGGGAAGGAAGAGCCAGGGTTCTATTTAAGGAAAGTTGTAATGCTTAGAGAGTGAATAAATTTCTTGGAAAATTGAAATTTACAAGCCACAATGCTGACTATTGACATTATGATGCTAGAAGATTAAAGAAAAATACCTTCAAGCTTGAAAGCAAGGCAAAATTGTACTAAATTAAGGAGTATCTTAGAGTCATAAGCAACAAAATTCATCATAAGAGTCTAAGAAATAAGTGCCTCAAGTCTAATTGTTAGCACCTTGGTGCGACACACATTGAATAAAGCCAGAATGAGATGTACTTGAGCCTAGACACTGATAAATGAAACACTACAACATGATGATGTGATATACTCCATTTTGAATAAGTTATCAAGATGGTTGGGGAGTTTTCTTGTAGTTTTGGGGAGTTATGTAGGTGGGCTTATTTGTTGACACTAAAAAGAGTATGTACACAATAGAGAGAGTTTCTTAGAGATACTTGTTATTGTGAGAGTGAGAGATGTGAATTCTTGCAAAATAAGAGTGAACTATAAGAGAGCACTTAAGAGAGTTTGAGGAAAAGTATAAGAGAGTTCAAGGAGGAGATCTCAAATAAAATTTTAGTTCTATCTTTTAACTTCATGTGTTTTGTAAATTCTAAATAAATGAATCCATGTGTGTGTAGTATTCTATGTAAAACTATGAACAAATTTTATTTGAATTTACGATATCATCTATAGTATTTGTATAAAATGATTAAGTTATTTATATGGAATATTAAGACATTTGTTCAATTTACTTCAAATTATTTTGAGTTTTTCGACTAATGATATGCTTATTTAAAATTTATTGTAATCTACAAATAATGACATAGTCATATGAAAATAAATAGAAGTAATTTGATGGCTTCTTAGATAGAATAGGCATATACTTGAGAGTTTGCGATCCAAAAAGAAAAAAAATTAATGCAATGAACTTACTAGTTCATATAGACATATATTGAATTAGAAATGTTGATTCCTTTTTTTTTAATTATCAATATAGATTATAAAATAAAAATACTACTGATATAAAATCGATAGATTTCATCTTTTAGTATTGTAAAAATTAAATACAAATAAATCTAGGATGCTCATTGTATTATTATCAAATCTAGTTATATTAATTTAGTTGTAGATTGTTTCTTTTATTTAAATCAACAAGAGATGATGAATAAAAATTTAAGGTGATAAAATTAGTAGTTTAATTATTAAAAACCTCAATTATGTTATTTATGAGGATGATATTTTATCATCATAACTTTTTTGTGTCTCTTGTGCAGCTGCGCACATTATTTTTGTTGGTCAGTTATTGCCTTAGAAATTTTATCAAGATTTTACAATATATATTCTTTCAAAATAAAGTCGTATTGTGTCTGTTGTACCAATTTATAATCTAGATCAATCATAACCAAACAATTTGGACATCTTAATTAATGTAATCATATGAGTAGTTCATTGGTGAATGAATGGATTCATGTTTCTACTTACATGGTAGTTATAAACATAAGACTCTATAACATATTATATCAAAATAAATACTATACAAAGTCTATAAATAATAAGAGATTTTTCTATGGTTGTGATAGGAGTATATGAAATTCACTAATAGGACATATAATTTTAGGCCAAACCAATTGCATGAATAGTATGATTCAAAACTAGTTTACATAATGAGACTTAAAATATTAAAGTAAATGTAAAAGTTCATTAAAAGCAAAGAAAAGCTTCATTTCTTGAAAAGATCCCACCACATTTGAATTTATACACCTTAATCATTTATCAGTCCTCTTGACCCTGCATCTTAGCCCTTAGTCTTCTTAACTTTGAGAGAATGAGAGACAGAGGGGAAGGGGAGGGGAGGGGGCGCTGAAAGAGGTCAAATTGGAGTCCACATTTGAATTTATACACCTTAATCATTCATTAGTCCTCTTGACCCTACATCTTAGCCCTTAGCTTCTTAACTTTGAGAGAATAAGAGACAGAGGGGGAGGAGAGGGGAGGGGGCGCTGAAAGAGGTCAAATTGGAGTAAGGGGACTAGGAATGATAAGCTTTTTATGTTAAAATACTTCATTAATTATTGAATAAAAACTAGTAATAGACAACTTTACTTATAAATAATAAAGAATAAAATTTGCAATTTCTTGGATGCTAAATTGAATTGTTTTATGATCCTTCACACTTGTTAAAAAAGATTTATGAATACTAGGAATGATAAGCTTTTTAAGTTAAAATACTTCATTAATTATTGAACAAAAACTAATAATAGACAACTTTATTTATAAATAATAAAGAATAAAACTTGCAATTTCTTGGATGCTAAATTGAATTCTTCTATGATCCTTCACACTTGTTAAAAAAGATTTATGAAAGGCCATACTCAAATAATCATTAATTCTTGCAACCAAATTTCTCTCATTCTACTTCCATGGAATTTAAGTTTTTACTCGATCATGCAAGAAATTTTTCACCCGCTTGTTGAAACATTGCCCGTCCATTTTTTCTCATTAAAGCTGTTGAATGTCGAGAGAAAACCAATCCATATTCGAAGTACTAAAGAGCTTAGCGGTTTTCATAAATTCACTATTGATATGGTACACAATAAACAGTCACTTGTAGAATATATCGAGAGAGGTCCTTTCACAACTAAAAAAAAGTTGATGATGCATATATTATCTTTAAAATTTATACTTTTCTGGAAATGACCTTATTTGTCACTCATTTTAACCCAATGTATATGAGGCTTCTGATTTAGTTTAAGAAAAATATCAGGGCAATGCATGTCACATCAATTCTAAGGTTCATATTAACTAAAATACAATGTTCCAGCAATGTTAAATGAAGCTTATCCATCCATAAATGGTAAAATCATTTCATATTATATAGAGACATTCCAAATGGCACTATCACCTTCTCCACAAGCATTGTGGACATCTTTCAGCTTGTCCGCAGACTTGCATATCCCACTGCAGGACCAATCAAATGATGCCACACAAACATTTCCTGCCTGCATTTTCCACTCGCAGTCTGAAATGCATGCATGCCAGTAAATCAGATATCAAAATTAAATGGTAGTTCCAAAAAAAATATAAAAATACTGGCTTATATCTTTATGGATCATATTAACTGTAACAATCAAACAATGTAAATATTGAATGATATTAAGCAATTTTATTGAAACGATTCATATGTCACGCGGTGTAAGATAATCCGGCGTAAAAGTAATACACTGAATTTATTTTATGGAAGGTTATTGTAAATATAAAGAGTTATTAAGTAAATTAAGTTTACTTCGCAGAAAAAGTTGAAATGATTCTTGAAATTTGTCAGAACTACCACCAATACTTACGAAACAGGGGCACTAACATGTGGCTCTTGAACCCAATATACAAGTAGTGCACCAATACCTGATTGATTTTACTGATAATTAAAGTTCAAATTTTAATTAATGGGATGCTGTACTTAAACTATTGCCACAATTGTTCAAACAGTGATATCGCCAACATTTTGACTAGGAAGATTCACATACATACCACAACGTTCTTATTTGTTTACATATCTAGCCCCTGAACTTTAGTTTTTACATATAATCAATCTTAACATTGAACTAAAATGTATATTTCACCTTTTAAAATTTAAATAGTGATATTTTTATGCGGTTGGAAAGATTTGAGTGGTATAAATATACAAGGTAAAATTGAGGTGTTAGATATGTAATACATAAGAGTGGGTTGGTATGTATGTAAAAGCCTATGATTGTTGCAAAATGGAATCATATATCATTATGACCACTCTTAATGACATCCTTAATCTTAGTTAATGTGATGCCTTCTCCACACCAAATAATTAACTTATTTTTGGTAGGATGCTATTTAATTCTGCTTGCTTTTGTTTTCTATTTCTTTTGTAAAGGAATAAATTGTTTCAAGGCATTCTCATGAGAGAAAAATAAGCCCATTAGAGCTGCTTGAATGTACTCACATTGAGAATCATCTATATCTACAATAAAAATAAAAATAAAAATTATAGAGAAATTGATGGACATCAAAATATCTTTATTTTTTGTTATCTTATCACTAGCTTTTTTATTATTATTATTATTATTATTATTATTATTATTATACATCAGAAATTTCACTGTGCAAATCTCGAGGAAATCCAATGATTTACTCAAGGAGGATACAAAAGGATTGTGCTATGAGCCAAAAGACCGCACCATCTAGTATCACTTCATTCGGTTGGTCGACCAAACAAAAAGAAATTTGAATCTGAACCAATAAACATTTTACGATGGAACTAGCAATGACCATCTATTATCGGCTCCTCAAAAAATTTAGGTCACTCTCAAAAAAAGGTCAAAAGTCGCTCCAACCATTTGTAGAGACCATTTCCTTAATGAAAGTTGCTCGTCATATTATGATGATATACCATCTACCTGACAGAAAAAACCTTAACAAAGGATAAAGTCACTATTCATAGTTCCCTTAGGAAAGTAAACTAAGTATCCATCAGCCGGCCAAATGAAGCTTAGTTGACCAAAAGAAGACCAACTTACTAAGCACAAAATTTACAAATATGGAGCAGAACCAGGAATAATTACCAATATAAATAGGTGCTAACAACAGTTACAATAATAAAAAAAGCAATTACAAATATATAAAGATGTAATGACTCATAACTGATTAATAGCATCCTTATTTAATGAGGAACAAACTTGTAATTTATTAAACACCCCCTAATATCTATAAATAGGGGAGTCATTTTTTCAGGAAACACTGTTAAATTTTTTGGAAAAGAATTAATATTATTTCTTGTATACACTCTTATTCTCTCCCACCCTCCTCCATATTCTCCCTCATTCATCTCATATTACCAACACTCTATTAATTGGGTGTGATCTGAAGGACAATTTTTTATTCAAAACCTAAAAGGTTTGGTGACCGTGGAGTCTTGCCTTAAACAAAAAGAGAAGTGTGTCAAGGAGAAGGAACAGGCCTAGAAGAAACTTCTAATGTGGATTTCATCAAGGAAATCATGCAACAATGAATTCAGGAGCTTCAGGATTGGATCAGATTGTGAAACAAACCTACGTGGTGCTTGAGGGGAGAGCACAACCTCTCGACAACCTAATCATTTAGTAGTTGAGCCCCAAGTTTTTTGCAACAATAATTTTTTAGAAGAACACATATTTGGAGCCGTATTAGAAGTTATAGGTTCCATCTTTGGAGCCATACAAGGACCAGACCAATTCGGTCGATCTTATTCCATCCTTTGAGTCAATTATGTGTATTCTTAAAGTCTTTGATGCACTAAAGTGTCGGCTACTCTACATCACACTCAGGGATTCAACCCTTTGGTGGTTCAATGGACTTCCCGTCAAAATTATTACTTTTTTTGGAGAGTTCAAGAAGTTATTTATGGTTCATTTCACTCATGCTCAAAAGCTCCACAAGGATTCAAATACCATGTGGCATTTTAAATGGTGATAAAATGAGAGCTTACCGGGTACGTTATATGATTCTAGAAGGAGATGTTGAAAGTATGGAATTTGGAGCTAGCCATTGCAAAGGGAGCCCTGGCACATGGACTAATGAGCTCAAAGTTCAACTAATTCCTGGGTTTATGGAAAATTGAAATTATTGCCGAACTCTTGGAGTTTAACAACAACCACATACTAGCGAAGGAGTATGTAAACTCTCTTATCTCAAAAAGTAAGATGCCTGAATGTTGATTGAGAAAAGGCTCGTTGGACGGCAGATGGAGGGATCATGATGACCTTCTCCCTAAGCATAACAGAGGTCGGTCATCCCGTAAAGATAAAGAGACCTACCAAAATTTGCAATGACAAAAACAATTGAATGATCGCTTAACTGGCAAATGGGGAATGTCAAGACCCATTCAGGTGAGGGTCTCGAAGGTAGAATTAGTGGAGGTTATTCAAAATAAAGAATACTTTTGGAAGGCTCCGCTGATGAAAACCAACGCTTTCCTCCAAAATATCATTAAGTTCTACAAGTACAATAAAGACTATGTTCATGATACATATGAGTGCAGGCAGATTCATAGCTTGGTCAAAGAGCTATTTTAACCTAGAAAGTTCAAAGAATCCATGGCCTCTGAAGCACACACTCAACAGTAAAGGAAAACACCTACGGAAGATGACTTGAATAGGCCTGTGATACATCTAAAATATAGAGTATTTTTAGACACATTTATATACCTATTTTTGAGATAATGCACTATAATGGAAGGTATTTGTGTTTTTTTTTTCAGGTACAAGTAAAAAGGTGAAAAATACTAAAAGGAGTGAAAAAGGATAAAATTTGGAGTAAAAAGGTGAAAAATTTGGAGTAAAAATTTGGAGTAAAAAGGTGAAAATTGTGCTAAAGTGTTTTGGCGCCTAAGCGCCAGATCCGGTACTTAAGCGTCAGGGAAACAGAGAGGGCCTCTCCTACACACCAGAGGCCCCACACTTAAGCACCAAAGGCAGTTATGTGAAGGTTTTCTTCATTTTACCAAATTTTGAAGGGGTATTTGAGGCACCTATTGGCTAAAGAGGGTGGTTATGACCACTAGAAATGAAAATATTATTAAAAGACTTATGAAAGGAGGCATCCTTTGGAGAATACATTGAATTAGGACATATTTTGAAGAGTTATCAAGGTACCTCTTGGAGATTTATAAAAGAAGGAAGTTGAGACTTTTTAAAGTGCACTTGAATGTTCCAAAAAAGTGTTGGAAAGGAGAGAGTTTTGGAGAAATTTTCATGCACGACAAATTTACTTTATCCTTTTTGTTTTTAGTTTTGTTGTGAGAGTCAAGAGTGTTATAAAAGAGAAGAGATTCAAATGAACTTCAAGAGTTTAGTGGAGGATTTGAGATAAATTTTTATCTTTTGTTTTGAACTATTTTTGGTTTTAATCAAGACTTCTTGTTGGTTTGACAATGATTTCTACTTTTAAACTAAAGTATGGTTTTGTTTTCTCCATGGATTTTGAGTAGTTTTTTTTATCTTTCTCATTAAAATAATAAGTAATTAGAGTTTGGATGGAAGTTGTGGAGAGTATTGATCTTTAATGTTGAAAGAAGTTGTGATGATTTAAATCCATGTACTTCATTTACTTCTTGATTTGGCCTATCTATATGTTAAAATTTGTTGTGAGAACATGTAAGAACCGGACTCGTAATGTCTCAGTCAACAATTGGAAAGAATCACATGAGGTTGTATGATTGAGAATATAATTCATATGATTTAGTTCAAATAAATGAGGAAATATATTTTGAAGGGTGTAGAGTTAGAGGACTTTAATGTGACAGGTTAAAGCCCCCAACTTGGTTTATTATTTTAGGTTAAAGCCCTTCTAAAAGATGATGAAGAATTCTTAAAGAAATGTGAATAGTGCTAGAAATAAGCTCCATTACTATACCAACCAGTTCAAAAGTTACAATTGATAGTCTGTCCCTAATCTTTCACCATATATGGGCTGGTTATCATTGGCTTATTTTGTCCCTCAAAAGGGTGGCGAAAATATCTCTTGGTCACTATGAATTATTTCTCCAAATAGATTATTGCAAAAGTTCTTGCCCAATTGACCACAGAAATCATCCAAAATTTTATTTTGATGGACATCACATGTCAGTATGGCTTACCATTAATATGCATCACCGACATTGGGACTTAATTTGCTAATCATGGTTTTAGATCTTTCTGCAGTCAAGGAATCAATCAAATTTTTTTTTTATGCACCACCCTCAGATGAAATGACAAGCGGAGTCTGCAAACAAAATCCTTCTAATTCATCTAAGGAAAAAAGTCAAAGGTACATGAGGCAAATGGGCAGAATTAATCTTGTCCATCAATTGGGCCATCTAGAACACGTCGTTTTCCATGACTTGGAAAACCCCTTACATGCGTTCTTTTGGAATGGAAGCAATGTCATCAGTCAAATACAATCATTATATCTAGAGAGTTGTCACTGCAATGTCTTTCAGTGAGGAGAAACTCACCAGCTGGCAGGATGCAAATG